AGCGCCCCCCAGCAGCACGGCGCCGCCCCTCGCCCCTCCTGATGCTGCTGCAGAGAAGAGGATCCGCTACGCTCCCGAGGATCTTTGAGGGGAGATGGAGTCCATTCGTTAACTTTGACCAATCTTGTGCTGTGACTGCAAAGGGGGTGCAGTGGCAGTGGGGCAGTGACATTTAGTCGGCAATTTTTATTTCCTCCCCTCGGACGGACTTTGTCGTATATGCTCTGTACTAACTACACGGACAATACCGAGTCTTTAGTTGTGGCAGCAAAATTTTGGTTCCCATATAGCAATTTGTGTGTTTCTGCAACTTAAAATTATCTGGACTATGTTAACAAAATTGTTAGTTTTGGGAACAAATTCTTTCTTTCCGTGTGGTACACTGAAAAATAACCTACGCAGAGCGATGTGGGCTTGGTGGATTTTTGTACTGGATAATGGATACTCCTTTTGATCATAAGGCGGATGGTTGAACTCTTGTTCGAGTCATTCTCACCGCGGATCCCGGGTATAGGGTTGCTCACCACGGCCGGCACCGAGCGTACGCGTACGCAGTGAGTACTCTCGGCTCTCATCTTTCGTGCTGGAGAGCGGCGTCAGCACCAGTGGTTACCCCCTCCCCCCCTTCCATCACCCTCTTTCCCTCTGCCGGACGCTTGTGCGTGAGCTGAGCTGGCAGACGGCTGACGTTTAAATAGGTGCATTACAATATCAAACTGCACGCCATGCGTGGTGTGTCTGGTGGGGCGGAGGGGCGAGTGCAACACTCTGCTCGGGCTCGGTGGGGGCGGCGTCCTTCTCTCTGTCTCTCTCTTTCTTCAGCACGGAAAAAAGTTGCATTCAATATGTAACTCAACAGAAAGTACGTGAACTTTTAACTTTTAAGGGAATGAAAGTAGGCTACTGGGGTTGTTCGATCGTTTTGTTCGACCAAACTCTCAAACTCTGCTGTGTACAGGCATACCCACGTCACGTTGCGGCTTTAGCGGCGGTGCAGCAGCGCATGGCGAGTCCCCCCCCCCCCCCCCTTCTCTCTCGCCAGGGCGCTTTTGCCTGACTGCCAGCTCCAGAGGGGCCGGGAATTTGAAGCATAAACGTAGTTGAGCGTCATTATGTTGTACGGAGTGCGCATAGAACAGAGCCCGCCCGGAGCAGGCAAAAAGTCAGTCCTGGTTCGCCCCGCCCCACCACGCCCCCCGTAAAAGGGACCGTTTTTCGGGGGGGCGGGGGCCGCACGATAGAGGAGCGGGGTTTGATTACATATGCCCGGGGGGCTGCCCACAAATCACACTGCAAAGTTACGTTGTT